AAGTAGAAGGAAAAGTTAGTCTTTCCCACCTACTGTTACAGAAAATATGGCATTGTCTGTGCCCTGAGAAACGCGGAGACCTCCCCCATGCCCTTTTGTGTTCTATAAATTTGCCCTCAATTTGGAAGAAACAAACCAACCCCTACAATGATTCATCACAATCACTTTCACGTGCCGCATGTGTAGTGCGTTACACTTTAAAGAGGTTTCTATAGCTTCCTTGAACTAAAGTAAAGCTAAATTAGAACCTAAGCACCTCTTTCCACTCCACTGCCAATTCCACTGAAAAACTTACCCAGAAACTGATCTTGTTCAGAGCCAAGGGGCTGCCTGTAATTAAACATAAAAATTTCAAATGAGTATGTAAGTCCCTTCCTGGTTTTATTCTCCTACCTTCTTGGTTTTTATTACTCTTATTGCATTCCTACTAGTCTCTCTCTCTCTCTCTCACACACACAGAGGTATGAATTTGAGATATTTAATTAAAAGACTTCTAGCTATAGTCACTGGAAATTCATCACAAACAGGCTAATAGCTTAAGACAACATTTCTATAACAACATTGTTTCTGCACTTGGGCAATGATTCTTATGAATCAGAAAGGCTATGACATGAATTAAGAGAAACACAGAGACCACACAGAGCAGCTGATTCCAACTCCAAGAGACTCAAGATAGGGGTTTTGAGGCTATTGACTTTACTCCCACGGAGCTGCTGGTGGGCTCCAGGGGTCCTTAAACTTTTTAAACAAGGGGCCAGTTCACTGTCCTTCAGACCCGTTGGAGGGCCGGACTATAGTTTTAAAAAAAAAAACTATGAACAAATTCCTATGCACACTGCACATATCTTATTTTGAAGTAAAAAAACAAAATGAGGCAAAAACACGTGGCGGGCCAGATAAATGTCCTTGGTGGGCCGCATGTGGCCCGCGGGCCATAGTTTGAGGACACCTGGTTGGATCCTGGACTATTCAGTTAGCAGTCCAGCGCTTACCCATCAGTGCCACCAGGGACCCTGTATATACGCAACTGGCTCCCTTTTGAATGTCACCTCAGTCCTATTTGAATATTAAAGCTAATGTATTCCAGAGAATTTAGGGAAAGGTAAAGAGACACGGACACATGAAACTTCCAGCTTAACAAATCTGTCCATTTCTTTTTGAAAGGACTTTAGTGCACGTCATCAGAATGATTGATTTGATTATACTTGCCAAGTTCCCTTCCTCCTTGCCTTTTATGCTTCAAGATCGATAAGCTCCAAAAAGTTAAAGAAGAAAAGCAAAGGGCATTAGTAACTAGCAAGCATGAAAAGAAAAAAACTGTTTCTATGTGTGTAGGTATCTATTTTAGAATCTGATCACTTTTATATGATCTCAAAGCCTTGGCTTTATACACATCTACAGATAAATGTAATGACAAAACACCTATTTTTTTATTACTGTAGGTGATTTTTAAACAAACAACTCTGGCACAAGCATACTCTCACAAGAACCAGAGACCAGCGGTTCTAATACTCTCTCAGCTATATCTCTCTCAAGGTCAGGAGGAGCCCTGGTGGCCTAGTGAGCACTCCTCGGGCTGTTAAGTGCAAGGTCAGCATTTTGAAGCCACCAGCAGAGAGAGGAGACTTTCTGCTCAGATAAAGATTTACAGCCTCAGAAACTTAAAGGGGCAATTCTACTTGGTCCTATAGGATCACTATGAATCAAAATTGACTCAGTGATGGTGAGTTGGCAAGGTGAGATGGCTTGATGCCTTTGTCTATCCATTTCATCTACAAAACAAAGGAAATGATCATCCTACGCTCATCAAATTGCTGTGCAGATTAAGTGAGATATGCCACATACATTCATAGCCTATTGCTGAGTGCACAGAGGGCTTACTGTTTGTGGTTATGTTAGATTTTTGTCCCATATTATCTTGCTATATTTTCAAACAAATCTACCTTCGACAATCTTGTTTTCTGCTAAGATGGATCAACTATTCCTCCTCTATCTATACACTGGTATTTTTCTTTCTGAAGAAATTAACAGGATTTCTCTGGCAGAATATTGATCAATAATGTTAGGTTTCTCAACTATCTGGAAATGTTCCCAAGAAGAGGAGGTTGTTAAGCATGAAAGACAAGAAGGTGATCTAGCAGTAAATACACTGGACAGAACACCAGTGTACTGATGATGGCTTTGGATAAACTATTTCATTTCACCATGCCTTAACTTTTCCTATCTATAAAATACCATTTTCCATCTTGTCTCAGGTCCTGAAAGATGGGGGTGAAAGCTTGTTTATGATTTACTATGCACTTTGGAAACTAGGAGCTATTGTATAGTTCAGTGATTTCCCAGCTACTAGAATAATCATTTAAAAATTACTATGGAATAATAGGCAGGATTCATTTAGGAAAAGATAATTAGATTGTAGGACCAATGTGCTTGAAAAATGTATATTAAATATACGTATTTTAATTGTCATCTTTATGGTACCATATTGAAAGTATATTTTGTACACAATAAAAAAACAAGCTCACTCTCATCAGTGAATTTGTCCTCACAGTGACCCTATGATTCTGGTAGAACTTACTGTGGGTTTCCAAGGCTGAAAAATCTTTCTACCTCAGCGTAGCTGGTAACTGAACTTCCAACTTTTGTCATTAGTAGCCCAAAGTTAACCCACTTTGCCATTAGGGCTACTTTTGGGGTGCACAATAGTTCATGTTAAATTGTCCTTGCCTTTTGAGAAATCAAAGTTTTCTGCGTACGTGTTCACATGGATTCTACACAATCAAGACTATTGTTTCATTTCAATAAAAAGTAACCTCAACCGAGGTGCCTGAGCCTTACACACCTGGGGGGAGGTTTTCATTAAGGCAAGGACCTATTTGCATTAACCCCTACAGCCCAGCAAAAGCAACAGCAGCAGCAGCACATCCTGACTTCTTGACTGAAATCAATGCCAGTGTCGCTGCCAAGGGGGCTGAGCAGGCTAATGACGTGTTCAGTGGCGATCTTCCCAATTCCAGTCTAGTCCCAACCCTGTTGCTAAGCCCAGTTCAGAAATCTGCTTGCGCGGACAATGGATGAGGACATCGAAGGGAAAGAACAATCGTGGCCCTCCATACCTAACATACCTCTCTGATTTTAATGAGGTCAGCTGCACGGATGGGTCTACAGCATTTTGCCTTTGGTCTCCCTGCCCAGGAGAGAAACCCTTCCCTAACATACAAACAGAGTACCTGCATGTTGTCTGTACTGCCAAAACACACTTGGGAAAACACCCACGCATAGAGAAAATCACACCTGCTCATTATTTTCATAAGCATGCACTCTCACCTCACTACAGCACAAACACACACACACACACACACACACACAATCACACACAATCACAGACCCACACACAATGACACGTACCCAAAGAGCTCAGAGTCCTTCCTATGCTTGCAGATTGAACCTATTGGCCACACACGCCTACAGACGCTCGCTGTGTGCCCACTTTCCGGAGCAGAACTCCCTCCTGATGCCACTGCCTTGCTCCCCTGAGCAGGCAGCTCACTGAGAGCCAGGGACAAAAGCGAGCCTTCATACTCCTGTGCAGTACAGGACGGGGCTCGTCCTCTCAGAGCAGCATGAGCAGATGCAAACTCGTTTTGGACACCCCTCTTGACAAAGCCAGGGAGGTAGATGCTCAGCCAGCACCCGGGTAGGCTTTGGCGGCATGCAAATGGAGTCGGAGGCAGTCCCATCACCTATGACAAAACCAGCACTGCAGCCCTCCCTCTCTCCTGGTCTGAGACCAGATTCCCCCAAAGGTCAAATCACCGAGCCAGCACTTAGTCTTTCAGACGCGTTCGCTGTAAGAGCGGCCCAAGAGCGAGTCCAAGCAGGTCAGGAAATTGACACACAGGAGCACAACGCGCTGGTCTGGGGACCGCAACTCCCTTCCCCCGTGGGTCCAGGGAAACGGGGTCCCTGGAAGATGTGAAGGAGAAGTCGGCGTCCCGGGGACAGCCAGTAGATGGCGCAAGCACTCTTCACTTGCACAATCTTAACCCTTGCAGCAGCAAGGGGGTTGCCAAGTCCAGATATATAGATACATACATTTTCCGTTTTGAAGGGAACCTTCCATTTAAATATTTGGGACAGATTCAGAATTAAGACAAATGGGACTGTTCTAGATAACTACCATAGATAAAGTAGTTTAACGGTGGCCCACACAATCTGAAAAGGGCGGGGGGCGGAGGGTGATGAAAGGACGAACTATTTGGGGAAATGACTGACTCCCTAGCCCACCCCACCCCTAAAATAGGTTTACCGAATCTTTATCACTGGGTTATCGGTTTTCACGTGGGCATTTGTATATGCAAATGCATGTGTGCAAATGCTTCCTTTTCCCTGACTTCTTTTTCCAATTGAATCGCAGGTTAATAAATGCGAGCAGTCTGACTGAAATACAGTGCAACTACAGTAGTAACACTTGTCCCATTATAACGACGTGCGCATCCCATCTTAGGACCCGATTCATTATCATTGCGATTTCCCCCCAGCAATCCAGATCCTCTGATTTAAATATCCCTTTAGCACGCTTCTGTATTTGCAGGCTGCAGTGGAGAGAGCTCACTAACATCATATTTCTGGGGCTGCTTTTACAGGCAGAATTGATCTATTCGGGGGTAAAAAAAAAGAACCCAAACCAAGCACCCTTAATTTCAAATATCATGGGGAGTTTACTGAAGAAGGGAGCTGGGCTTTCACAGGCTTGCTAGTGGTTTCTGGTGGTTGCTCTAACAAGCTAGAATTGGGGTAGATTTTGGCGGAGGGGGAAAAAACGCACAAGAAAAGACAGAATCCCGAGTAGCAGAGACTGTGCCCCCGTTGGAGAGATGGTTGAGTCCTCCTCAAGGTTGCTGTGGTATCCCAGAAACACCATTCACTCCGAGCTGTGACCGCGCACCGACAACAGCAACAACTCCACTGCGCCGGGCTGAGGAGCAGGGATTGGGAGCTCGCGAATAATATGAAAGGGAGCTGCAAAGGGGAAAGCCAAGCAGAGGAATCCGAACCCCGGGAGCCTGGCACTAGAAGATGCGCTAGATGTGGCCGCCTGGACTTCATCCTGATGAAGAAAATGGGGATCAAAAGTGGATTTACGTTTTGGAACCTCGTCTTTTTACTGACGGTGTCTTGTGTGAAAGGTAGGTCTGCTTTCTGGGGTCCCCGCGGCTTTAGATGGAGGTGAGCCGACTTGCCGCCTGAGAGAGGGTGGTAGCTTACTTTGCAATTTGCACAGATAAAATAATCATGATAATACCGAAGAAGGAGTTGATTCACAGCCTTTATTTTTTCCCCCTCTCGCTCCCTCAGATAGGAAATGCATTTTGCTTGCCAGATTTGGTGTTCAATGCGGTGATTGAGCTTGTGCTCAATAAATATTCTTGCAGTATGCTCAACCGAATACGTGAGTTGATTAGTATACTCTCTGACTAGTGGATATCCAGGGAGAATTCCTTTGCAAGACTTTTCTTGGCTGTGAGGAATACCTTGATTTCTAGACAAACCATCCGGCTTTGATGGTTTGGTTGGAATATTTATATTCCAAAGACATTCGGGTAAATGCTTTATCTTAACCCTTTCGTGGGGGAAAGTTGCCAAGGTGCTAGCAATGTGCTGATTTGAAATGCATTCAGGCACGGGGAACTCGCCAGCTTCCCCCACGCCAATATGAAGGTCTGCATGCATCTGTGAATTATTTCTACGTGGGCTTCTATGTATTGATAAACGGTAGGGGTAGGGGAGCTTCCCTAGTCCGGTGATAGAGGTTTGGCCAGAGCGGAGGCTGTAAAAAGGTCTGAGACACCACAAAGTGCAAGGATCCACCTTTGGGGATGAATGGAGGGAGGAGGAAAGTCATTAGCTGAGGACCCACAAAAGAGACTCTCCAGCAAGTCTGCGCGTTCAGACAGGTAGAGCGAGCATCACATGCACAGACGAGGGGAGGGGTGGGTGCAATCTCAGCCTAAGCAGGGAGGCAAGGGACAGTCAGGACCATTGAAGGAGAGCTGTTCTCAGCCAGAAAAGAGGCCCCACCGCTCTCTCCCCAACAACTTCTCTGGCACCCTGCTGCCCAGTAATTGCTGCAAAGAATACTCAGAAGGTGCTTAAGGCTCACGCCATTCTGTTTTGAACCCCGGACTCCCCATAGTCCCTCGTGGCCGCTAGGACAGACACGATGGATGTTGCTTTTAGTGAACCGAATCCCGGGTGTGTGTGTGTGTGGCTGGGGGTGGGGTGGGGGTGGGGGTGGGGGGTTGGCCGGGCGCACTAAGGCTGTCAACACAAACTGGACGCTTCTTGCTTTGTGAAGGAGTGCCTCTGCTGAACCGCAATCTATGAAACACTTTATTGTCCAGCTTGCAGCTGGCTGTCCCCCACAGAAGGCAGTCCATTTGCATTTGGTGGAAATGATAATCCATGTTTCGTGGGGGTGGGGTGGAGGAGTTACCTCTCTCTCTCCCTCTACTATGACCGATGATAGGTGGCATGTCTAGAATTTTAATTTAGATGCCCAAATGCCAGGAAGTCGCCCCTGGTCTCTGTGGCAGCAAGTGCCAATGGCCTTGCATTTCCAACCTGCTCCTTAAAGCGTGTGTGTGTGTGTGTGTGTGTGTGTGTGTGTGTGTGTCCCAGTCCTGGAGGCAAAATGCGTGCCCTAGCCGCCTGAAGACACCTCTCTGGTATCTGGCTTGCCCTGGTTTCTGGTCGCAGCTCCGTTCGCCTGCTGCTGGGCGTCCGGGGCTGATAGACGCCGGGCTGCCTGCGAGAAGCGCGCTCCGCGCGGCGGACGCACCAGGAGCCAGCAGTTGCCGGTGGCAGGAAGCGTTGCGGTGCTTCTTGCAAGAGGATGACCGGGGGTTAAGTGCTCGCTTTCCTGCGATACCTGTTGAGCCAAACACCTTCGGAGGCAGGTGTGGGGGGCACCAGGCTCCCAGGCTTGGCGAGAACGCCAGTCTGGCCAACGCCGAGCCACGCCGCCCGCAATTACAGCCCGGCGGCCCGCACCTACCGTATTTCTTGAATAAAACGCTCAGTAGAAAAAGAAAGGCGCATCGATGGGCTTTAAAGGACCCTGGAAACCCGACCCCTCTGCCCCCCGTCTCCGCTCCCCTACCCCAAGTTCCCGGCATCTGGTACTCAGTTTCCACTGATACAGTCGGGTGTGGTAGACAGCAGACGAGAGGACTCAGTCCCATTTTGCTTTTGGTCTCCTCGAAGCAATTTTCTTCAGACTGTTAAAAATAGAAATACAAACAGCAATGAGGTTCTCCACGGTGACATAGACGCCCCTCGGAAGGCGTCTTCGACATTTTACAACTTGGGATGAAGCCTATCCCAGCCTGAGACCCAAACTTGTCAGGGCTGTGTGCCCTGGCTCTGTTCCCCTCTGCTGGGTCCTGCCATGTATAACACTGCCTTCTTCTCACCTTTGACTTTCACCACAGGCTCAAGATTTCCCTGGCATGGAGGTCTCTGCAATGGTTTAAACATTGCTTCCTCAATGTGTTTGCCTGCTTTTGTCCTCCACGCGGTTTCTTCTGGCTCTGGGTCCACGGGAAAGCTCAGCGTGGGGAATAGTTCCGAGAGGTCTGCCAGGTCCAAATCTAGACCTGGTCGGAGGAGTGCTGGGGAAGTCCAGGGCTCGCAGTTTCCCAGTGACAAAGAGGCTTCGTGGGGGAAACGCCTTGGTGTGGCACATAAAAGTAGTCTCCGGTAGGCCTGATCTGCTCGTGTTGGGCTCGAAAGGGAGCCCACCCTGCTGGCCATTTTATCGCCACTGTCACCATCTGAAATAAAAAGCCCTGGGGAGCTCTGAATGGGAAGAGGGGTGGAGGCTGCTTGGGTAGGTGGCTTCCTCTGGATGAATGCCTGTTCTAAGCTGACACAGGAGCTTGCACACCACGGGCAGACAGAGGTGCCTGAAATGCAGCCACTAACTGCAGGGTGTGTGTTTAGGTCTCACCCAGCTAGAAACTGTGAATCTGCAAGTCGTGCTGAAGCGGCCCGCCCACGTTAACAGACACGCTGCTTGTTCGGGGTGATTTCCCAAGATCCTTCTTAGGGGATCCCAGGAGAACCACGCACCCTGCTGCGAAGGGACCCAAGACAAGGATCTCCAGCAGCAGCAGGTGGGAGCCCCGAGCTGCTGCGTCCCACATCCTGTGCTAGGGTATGACTTCAGGGGTTCCTACCAGACTCCAAGCAGCCTAGTCCATGGCTCCCTTTCATTTGTGCTGCAGTTCCAGAGAGGTAGAGCTTTTCTGACAGAGGGGGGCTAGCACCCTCTCCCCCAGCTAATCCCTTCTGCAAAGGAAGACATTTCCAGCGCCAATGCATGGGAAAAGGGGACCACTGTGCTCCTTGAAACCTTTTACCAAAGCCAAGGTGGCCACCCTCCGAGAGGAAGTTGGGGGTGGGGTCTCTGCCCAGAGGGAATCCTGGACTGACCCCTTCCAGCTCCTCCAGAAGGGCCTTCAGTGGTTGGGCGGGGACGAGATGTATTTGCACAACAATCACCAACAAGCCAGCCTACCCCCTTCCTCATCACTACAATCCATTTCTGGAGGTTAGCTCTGCCTGCACGGAGAAACCCTTTAGCAGACGACTTTTGGGTTTGGGTCAGGGGGCTTGCCCAACTGCAGTTTTGGGCAAATGTCTTTAGACTCCCTGCATTTCCTCTGGGAAGACTTCTTGCTAGTTCCTATAAGGCCAAACTCCTTCAACTCTTCGTGCATGACGGAGGTTGAAACTGGGGGCTGGATAGTGCACGTATGCGTGGATGTATGTATTGGTGGTAGGAAGGGGTCTTGTGAATTCACACACCGCAGGCTTCTTGAGGCCTGGAGGATCTTTGCGTTTGCGTCTGGAGGCGGAAACCCAAGGCAGGTAGCAGTTAACATTCCCTGGACTCCAGATGGTTGGTGGCGCTATAGCTACTGCTGCTGCTTGTCTCCTGTGGAGGCAGAGAGAAATCCCTCTGCCCTGAGGCTGACAGCAGCGCTCCCTCACCCAAACATTTGGCTCAGAGGCACTGGGGGAGTTAGGAAAACATATTGGGGGAACGTAACGGAGCTTGAGGCTTCCATAGGATGTCGATCCTCTGCAATCTTGCCAGATGTCTTGGGAAAGGTGAGCCAGGAGGCAGTTCACACTCAGCAAGGACTTAGTAGGGCTCAAAGGAAGAGAAGAGAAGAAAGGACAGAGCAATGGGTCAGCCCAGTGGAGGTCCTCTCCTGTGCCACTCTGAGATGGCAGCTGTAGGCTGCAGGCAGGATAAGCAAGGGAGCTGCAGTGCTTTACAGAATAATAATGAAGAAGGGAGGCCGAAGAAAGAAAGATATCCCCAGACTTCACTCTGGCTCCCTTCTCAGGGAGCAAGGAGACTTTGGGAAGGTTCTGCACCACCGAATTGCTAAAACAATCCAATTTACCTGACAAGGTGTGAACAGTTCCCAGAATTCAGAGCTGCTTGTGCCCCCTAGACATTTACCTTGATGAACACCTTCAACCAGGTTGAAAAGCACCCTTTGGCAGTGCCCTGTTTCACTGGATCTTCCTGTGTTTTGGAATCTGCATCAAGTGGGAGTGGGCAAAGCACATGAAGGGAGGTCATTGGATGCCCCCACCCTGCTTTGAGGTCCTCGTGGAGAAAAAGGGGAGAATAGCTGAAGGCATTCATTAAATATACTAGGGGTATAGTCTTCCTTGTGGTCCTTGCTACTGTTCTCTCTGTAAGGCTAGCTGAGTAGGTTTGGGGTGCACATGACTTTTTAGAAACACAACTTTTAATGTCTGCACAAACAGTGGAATAATAAAATGAATCGGTAGCGAAGGCAACCTATGCATGTTCTAAATATAGTTAAAAGATTAAAAAAAGTATCATATATGACATCCTATAAGACAGCTATGAAGGATAGAGTAGTTAATGACATTGTATTCACATAAAAACAGACTCTGATATTAAATATCCGTATATCTAAAATCTCTTAGATCTGTCCTTAGAGGTAACTTTATTTTGCTGACTCATAAAGGTCTCCAGAAATAGGTCCAGAAACAGTAAATACCCTGAATCTATTGTGTAGTTTTGGTAAAACAAAACAAAACAAACTTTAACACACCAAGCGATCTACCTGGTGAGACA